GAAAGGAGAGTGTCTGCTTGTCTGTACCTTCTACCAAAGCATTTATTCTCTCCTTCACCAACCCAAACGCCATTAAATAATCCCAACCTAATTAAAAATATCGATTTTTCAATACGAAAAAAAACAAGTAGTTATGGTCCCATCTCCAATTGTTAGTTTTCAGAGACCTATTCAATGTGTGTACAGAGAATTGTATATTTAATATTCGATTCAAAATGATCAGAAACTATTACGAGTAAGTATTTTTTTTTTTTTTTTGTAGTTATGGAAAATTATTATATTACCTATTTTTAGGCACCCTTGTTTTAATGGGCATGGTTTCTAATCATTAAGAGTAAGTTTTCAGCAGTGAAATGGTTGGGTTTTTATCTAATAAAGATCCATTAAGTTGGGGCCAAAACAAAAATTTTGGAAAAAAAACTTATGGGTTTAAGAAGAATTAGAGACAGAGACAGGTGAGTGACCAAAAGTAAATCTCTCTCTGTCATTTGTTTCTTTCTGTGGTTTCCATTCTCTCTGTTTTATTGAGATTTTGTTCTTATTAGAATATTTGTAGACCTGGAATCAACCGTTGATAAGAGTTGTATTGTATATAAGGAAACAAGAAGAATTCGATGATCTAATTCGATGATATAATAAATATACATAAAGCTTCTTTTTTTTCTTCAAAATTCAGTTGATACATATTTTATATACAGAGAAAAGCAGAGATATTCATTTTCAAATGAATATAATAAATCAAACAAAACAAAAAGTTATTTATATGTATCGTGTGTTAGATGATTATGTTGTTGTAACGATGGCTCTTGAAACGTCTAAAGGTGCAAAGAATTCTTGAGTAATGGATTTTATAGTGTCTCTACTTCCTCTGATTGCATTGCACTTAGCTTCTTCTTCGCATAGATTGTGCAGACTATTGTCGCGCTCGCGGTTGCACAAAAGCCAAGAACATTCACTACTATCTCCACAACCGAAAGACCGTGTCTCTCATCTGATGCAACTGCTAAAGTTCTTAGCATTATTCCCCTGCAAATTACAAAAACACAAAACATTTTAAGATTCTGCAGAACATGTCTTAACGTACAGATAGAGATACAGAAAGAGGCATATACGTGTAGATTGAGACAAAGATCTCGGGAACCATTCCAACAAGAGAGCCTAAGATGTAAGGACCGTAGTGAACTCCAGTCGCTAACGCGCAGTAATTGTAAATCATGTAAGGGAATGGGGAAACACGGATCAGCGTGACTGCTTGAAACTGATGAAACCAGGTTCCTTCGCCTGCAGCTCTTAGTATGGCTGCTTTTTTCGGGTATTTCTTCAACCATTCCTGCACAAAAGATCAGGAAGGACAATGCCAAATTAATCATCGAAAGGTACAAGCTTAATAAATATCCAAACCAAAGAGTTCATACGATCCAAGTCTATAAGATGATGCTTACTTGCATCTTGTGAAGGAATAAATGTCCGATTAAGAAAGGAAGAGTAACACCGATTGATGCTGCTGATAAAATCAACAGAAACCCCTTGCCGTAACCAAATGTAAGACCGGCCATCCACATGGAAGGAGAAGAAGGAAGAAGAATGCTTGGGAATAATGCCACTGAGGCAAAGAGTAGAAGACCGAGAACTGGGATGCTGAATGTGCCTCTAACCCAATTTATATATGGAATCAGCTCCTGAAACGTAATCCATAGACACATCAACATCAATGAGGATAAGCTTCTTGCGAAATGCATGACTGATTAAACATTAAGCAAAAGATAAACATCAAATGGATAAATAACCTTGTAAACACATAAAAGGTCAAAAATTTACATTAGAGTCTAAAATTGGTGAGATGTGATTAAACAAGTCGCCATCAGCCAAACCACAGGACATTGAAAGCAATGTTTCTAGCATCAATTGAGAGAAAACATGTAAGAACTTTGGAACAATCAAATCCATTTTCCAGATTTGGGCGAAATCTTCAAGCTAAAGTGCCTGAGCTCATAAATCATCAGGCAATACGTTCTAAAGCGCCAAAATTTAGTTTTGAATGCCTAAACCTAAAACATGCACAATCTAAAAATACACAAGAACCCTAATTTTCAACAATCAAAACCCAGAAAAAAATTAGCTGAATAATCAAATGTCACCAAAAAAGCATCAGATCTTCGACAAAAGAACCCACCTTTTCGATCAAAAATGGACCGATCRATTTAATAATTACAAAAGCCAATCCACCCAAACAAGCGAGCAAGGAGATTAACTTCACCCAGAACCAGACAGAAGTCACCGATCCTATCGACCATAACGATGACTCTTTCGGAGATCCTTGTTCTTCTCCATCAGATCGTCCTATCAATTTCACATAATCACCATTATCGGAATCCTCGACTCTCAATTTCAGCTCAGGCACCGACTCGTCGACGCCTTCGCTGTACGTCATCGATCGAACGATGGAGAAAGAAACAAAACAAAACAAAAAAACCCCCAAAATCGATCCTTTTTCTCCCCAAAAAAATCTCAAAAGTTTTATTCAGATTCGTTTTGGACCTCTGTTTTCCTTCGGTTTCCCGAGAAAATTACAAGTAACGAAGAGAATGAGACCGTTAGATCAAAACGAAGAGAGCGAATGGGTTTAGATTTTTAGAAGAAAGAAAGAATCTGAATTATTCGCTTTTTTTTTTATCTTTTGATTCCACAAACTTTTTAAAAATAATATCCTGATAATTAGTGGTTTTATGTGTACTTTCAAATGATTAAACCGGTGTCGTATCGGACTATTAGCTGTTGCTTACGAAGCGCCGATATTTAGGCGAGTTGCTGAGTCACTTCCTTTTCCTTTAATAGTATTCGCTTTACCGTCACGGTTTGGGACGTTTATGTGCTACTTTTGTTTTTTTTTCTTCTACTTTACAACTAAAAAGAATTATAAAACCAAAAATTTGAAATAACTTTGCAATTTAACAAAAAAATATATCAAATAATCCTTTCATCCTATTTCAAATTGGATCATTTTCCTTAGATCAACACACTATTATTTAATTGGTTATGTGGTTCATTCTTTATATGCTATTTATGTCCTATTATAAATTTCAAATATAAGATTCCTAATATATTGTACCATATTGGTGTAACGTCGCAATTGCGATATATTTATATGTTTTAGGACTTTCAAGTTACAACAAAAAGATGAGAATTAAGTCAACGTAACTTAATGAAACGAGATGCTCTATATGCGAAATGGAAAGTTAGTTGCTTGAAAGCAATACATTATAATACATTATACATAGGATAGGATCAGAGAAACAAGACAATGGAAAGCAAACAAAGTTGATACTTCCAAGCCAAAAACAAATATTTAAAATCCTATCAAAATATAAGTTTCTTATAATTGGACATACAAATAATTTCCCATAATTTTTTGTTCACTTAAAAATTACTTGGTAAGATTAGCAAAGCCGGTTATGAGAAATCAAAGGTCACAATCAAAAAAATATTTTGGACCATTTATCATTAATATTTGAAAATAAAATATGTAATAAAAAATGGTGGAAAACAAAATTAAACCTTTTACTTTTAACCTTTAATTATCCAATCCGTTGAAAAAAAAAAATTATCCAGTCTATAACCAACGATACTAAAGTCATACTTTTTTAACTATAAAGACCGTTGAGTTATAGTATAAAGAAAACATAAAAAAGTTTGAACTGCAAACTCATGTTTGTCCTACTTAGGCCATCCGTATCCATGAACTTTTGAGGGTATCATTAAATATAAAATTATTAAAAACACACTCTCTCTTCATTTTACTTAACTTTATACCTTCTCTTTCATCCTTTTATTCAACTTTTATTAATTTTATATTTAAACACACCCCAACTAAAGTTTAAATTCTCTCCAAAAGTATCAATCCATTGATACAAAGACACTCTATCTCCAAAAGTATCAACTCATCTCTTCTTTTTACTCAAATTTTATTAATTTTATATTTCAATACACCACATTATTTCAACCAAAAACAATCTCTTTCTTCCTTTTACTCAAATTTTAATAATTTTATATTTAATGATACCCACCAAAATTCACCAATACGGATGCCCTTAGAATCAGGATCGTACCTGAGGATTAGACATAAAACCTTTGGAGCAAAGATGTATAATGGTAGTAAACATTAAGAATCTGCTCTAAATTTTGTTGCTCTGCCTTCTCTCTAAACTTTCTCGCCGTTGAGCGGCTCCGGCGTCAGCACCAGAGTTGCACCCCCATTCTCGGTTATCATGGTTTTTAGATCTAGATTTTAGATATAGTTCTATGGGGTTTTTCTCTTTGCATGTTAATGGCTGGTGTGGTTCGGAGTGGTTGATTTCGAAGGATTTTGTCTCGGTTTCAATCATTTGATTCTTCTCACGAATTGTTTATGTCGATGGTGGTTTCAAGCGTTTGCCTTTAGGCGTAGGCTTCGATTTATCCCCTAGGTGGTGGGTTTGTGATGACGAGTTTGGTTTCGTCTCGATTGAGGTTGCGGTCATATTTTGGAGAGTTGGGATTTGTGAGGTTGTGTGCGCCAGATCGCAAATCTTCGGGTTTTGTTTGACGGTGCGACATAGCAACTCTCGCCTCGATGCTCGCTTAACTTCCTTCAACTTTAGTTCTGGCTTGGCTCTTTTCCGGTTCGATGTGGACTGGATTTTGTTTTGTGGTGGTGCTTTAGCTCCGATCAACAATGAATCTTCTGGTTACCTTCTCGTCTTTGTTTTCTTCTTGCCTTGACACCTTTGATTGATTTCTTTCCTATTCGTACTCTTTGTGTTTCATCTGCATACGAGTCATGAGTGTTTGGTCAACGCGTCTTGTCACGCGACGATATCTTTTGTAAAGTCCAAACCCTATTTGTCTTCTTGATGGTGAAGAGTATTATCGGCTGGAGTCACTCTTCTCGGTTAGATGATTAAGTGGATCAAGTAGGTTGCGTCTTCTTTGAGTTTTTTTTCGAAAAAATTATAGATCTGGCGGAATAGGTGCAATATTTCTTAATATTTTTGATTTATATGTGGAACCATTTGCCCATTGTCTTAGTATCTGTTTTTAATGTATGTGTTTTTGTAGTTTGTATAAGTCTCATATTGGCTCTAGAGATTTCTCGTTTGTCATTGGCTTTGACGTGGAAAGAATGATTTTCTTGCCGGTTTGTGTAATATCAGAACCAAATTTCAATCAAATCTTCGAGATGGGCCCAAGTTGATTGTGGCCCAATGGTTAAGGGTCGGGTCCGGGTGGCTATCACCATCCGGGTTCGATTCCCCCACCCTGCGGAAACTCCTTCACAATTAATTTGGGAAGTCTGGGCTTGGGGTCGGGT